AGAACCCTACCTCTACAAAGTAGCAGTACCAGTCCCTCACATATTCAATAACAATAGCAGTCTTTGCTCACAGAAGTAGGGGGAGAAAGGTCTTTGATCATGGCCTCTTGGTCTTCTGAGGTATTTAGGAGTAGAAGCCATAATATGTAACTGGGTGATTTTGAGATCAAGGCAATCTCCTAAATAGCATGTGAGTTTTATTTTCTTCTCCACAGACACACCAACGGCGAAGATTAGGCCAGACCCTCCACATCCCCGTGAGGGCCAGAAGCTGTTGCTACACTGTGAGGGTCGTGGCAATCCCGTGTAAGAAGATCCATTCCCCGGCCTCTGATACAACTCCATACTCTCAGATTGTGATATTCGCTTAGAGTCTTTCTATCTCCTCTGTACTGCCTGAGCCTCTCGTTTTCCCCGACACTGTCTAACAACATTTGTCCTCTGTTTCTCCTATAAAGCAGCAGAAGTGGGGAGGGACCACTCCCTAATTCCCTGAGATTCCCATAGGGAACCAAGTTACAGTAAGATGCAAGTTAGGAAATATCCCTTTTCACCAAATTGAACCCCAAGAGGTAACCCTTTACTTGCCTCTGAGCAGCTCATTGTCTCCGGCCCCTATAACTTCTTGAGCTTTCATCAAACAGTCCTTGACTTCCCTGCTCCCAGTTTCTTTTTTTTTTTTTTTTTTCTGTCTTTAGCTCCCTGACCTACTCTCTTCTAAACACTTGGAATTTCTCTGCCTCAACAGCCCCCAGCAGTACCTATGGGAGAAAGAGGGCAGTGTGCCACCACTGAAGATAACCCAGGAGAGTGCCCTGATCTTCCCATTCCTCAACAAAAGTGACAGTGGCACCTACGGCTGCACAGCAACCAGCAACATGGGCAGCTACAAGGCTTATTATACTCTTAATGTGAATGGTGAGCCCACCTCAGTTCTTCTCCAGCACCCTCCTTCTCCTCTCTCTGTTCATCTTACACTCTCATCTTTCTGTCTCATGAGAGCACCCCCAGATGGTGCTTGGGAGTGGACTAAAGGGATATCATGCCCCATTGAGATCCTGATGACTTGGGCTCCAGATCCACTCTGGAATGTGCAATAAGATCAGTAGAATAGAAGGCTCCCATCACCCTTTGTTTAGCAGTGGTGACCCAAATGACATCATCTTCTGACCCCTGCACTCACCTGGCAGCAAGAATAATAATTCTGTGTTTAGAGGTCCCAGAGACTTTCAAGTGTGGGTATAGACAGGCTGTTCTCAGAGTTGTTTCTCCTGTAACTAGTATGGGATGCAACCTGCTGCTGTTGTCTCCTGTCCTGCAGATCTGGGTCCAGGCAGAAAATGGAGACAAGTTGGTACTATGCTGAGAAATAGAATCTTTTCTCAGATGCGATATCTTCTAGAGGAACTAGGTGATGCTTCTTCTCTGAAGTTCTTCCCAAAAGTGTGACCACAAAACCTAATTTTGGGAGAAGAGACAGGCTAGCACAGAGATCCCTTTATGGAGACTGAACAGGAGATTTTTTTTGAAGATCCCAATGGCAGTGGGGTTCTGCCAGAAAGTTGAATAAGCCTTTCCTCAGAATAGAGGAAACATTGTCAGGGGAACATCAGAGGCTCTCTTGAGTGAAACGCCAATAAAGAAGTGAGGGGATAGCAGCCAGGCTTCTCAGGGATAAGAGGCCTGAGATCTTGGGACCAGAGTGTCTGATTCCAACTCCAGGGCAGACCTCAGCATGTAGGGACTGCCTCAGCACAATGAACAAAGCTACTGCAGGATGCCAGGAGCAAGGACAATGCACTGAGGTCCAGTATCTACTCCCAGATCTCTCCAGATCAACTGATTATGATTGGTAGTGAGAGCAAGTTCTTGTTCCTTTGTGGTTAGCCTTTTGCTAATCAGCCTTGCCCGCTTCCGGAAAACTGGTCCTGTTGGAACAGCGCTGACACCTGGTGATAGAATGAGTTACTGCAGCTTCCAGGAATATCCTAAGGGGTATTGACCCTCCCGTGCCTGGAATGAAATTCAATGGAGTTATCCCTAGAGAAAGGGATCTGTCATGGATAACAGAGATCATTTTAGCCATGGAAACCTATGTTTTTCTAGAGCATTTCTATTTCTCTAGTCTCTGCAATAATTATCCAGGATTTATTTTTAATATGGATTGTGTGCATTCCCCTCTCCCTCCAGACCCCAGTCCGGTGCCCTCGTCCGCCAGCACCTACCACGCCATCATTGGTGGGATCGTGGCTTTCATTGTCTTTCTGCTGCTCATCCTGCTCATCTTCCTCGGCCACTACTTGATCCGGCACAAAGGTCAGACGTGCAAGGGAAGCATCAGGAGAACTTGGATGTAGGTAGAGCGATCAATCAAGAGCAGGCAAGTAGGAGCTGGCTGTAGGAAGGGCCTTTAGGCACTCAGTCAGCCCCTTGGAATGTTTGAGAAAGAAGAATGCAGCCAACCCTGTGATAATAGAACACCGATGGCCCTTCAGTAAAGCCTCATCACTTGGCGATCATCCAGTAAAATCAAACCTTTTCACTCAGTCAACTGCTGCTCTTATGCTGCTCTGCTGCCAGGGTTTTCTGCTGTAAGCAGAGAACAGTGAAACTCTGCATCTTCTTCCCATTTCTTCCTACACTTTCTTCTTTTTGTTTAGCCTCATTTTCCTTGGACTTTTATCTCCTCACCCCCTGTCCCCATAATACCTGTATTTTTTTCCTCTCCTCTCCTATCTGCATGTCATCTCTCTCTACCTTCTCTTCACATAGCTTCTGTCATAGCTTCTAGCCAACAGCTGGATGACACCAACTGATCAAGTGCTAGTCAGCTCTCAATTGCATTTACACATAGAACTAACACAGCAGTTTCCCTAGCCCCACCTTACATGCACACTTACACACACATATACACATATAGACACACACATGTATAGACACATACATACACACATACATATACATTCATGTACACATATACACATGCCATTTTTTTTTGCCTGTATTATTAATGCAATTCTAATTAAAGGCAGAATTCATTAATTCATGGGAGTGTAGTCAGGTGAAGGATATTGGCAGCAAAATGCAAGTTAGGTCAGGTGGTAAGGAAGAAAGCTCTAAACAGGAGAAAAATGATAGGAGCAAGGTGTGGATGAGTGGATGGAAAAATGGGCAAGGAGGGATTCAAAGGTTTGGAAACTGCTCCTGAAAAGAGGAGCCCCTGTCTCTTCCCAGGAACCTACCTGACACATGAGGCTAAAGGCTCTGACGATGCTCCAGACGCGGACACGGCCATCATCAACGCAGAAGGCGGACAGTCGGGCGGGGACGACAAGAAGGAATATTTCATCTAGGGTGCCCACCACCTCCTGAGCCCCCAAGGGGCCCCATGGGGACTGTTGGGGCCATCACCAACCTGGACTTGTACAGAGTGACCCCAGGGCCACCCCTCCCGCTTGCTCCCCAGCCCCCCACCCCCCTGTACAGAATGTCTGCTTTGGGTGCGGTTTTGTACTCGGTTTGGAATGGGGAGGGAGGTGGGCGGGGAGGTGGGGAGGGAGGGTTGCCCTCAGCCCTTTCTGTGGCTTCTCTGCGTTTGGGTTATTATTATTTTTGTAACAATCCTAAATCAAATTCGTCTCCGGGCTGGAGGGGTAGGGACCTTGGGGTGAGGAAAGCAAAACAACTGGAGCTTTAGGAGGAGAATGAGAGTAGAGGGGTAAGGACAGGAAAGGAGCTGGGCTAGTTTGATGGGGGATCTTACCAGTCCTCTATCTTCTGCAACAGAGTGGTTTCCTGGACTTCTCTGGGAATAGGGAGTTGGTGAACAGGAGCTGGAAGTGGCCTTTCTTCTGCAGATAGTCATACACCTAGAGCTATGGACAGAGATACAGGTGCCTCTCTGATGCCCCTGTTCCACCACAATGAGAAAAGTGTGAATGAGAGTCCCTGAGGAGATGTGACCTATAGATGGCTTGCAGTCATACACAGACCCAGAGTTTCCACACGGGGAGGACATGGGTACCTGTCAGGAGTAGATTTGGAGAGGAAAGCTGGCAGAGATGACCCATCTATCCCTTAACCCCCATGGTGAATGAAGCCAGGCCCTTTTGAACGGAACTACTTTTGAGGCTAGCAAGGCGAGGCCACCTTTCCTTGCTCCAACAGCTATAGAGAATGCACTGCTCCAGGCCTAACTGTATCTACTTCCCCTGCTTCCCTGTCCAGGGTCTTCTCGCTCTCACCCAAGCCCTGGACTGTTGCTTGGCAACCACTCCTCTTCAGCATTGCTCAGCAACGCCTCCTCCCACCGGGTACCGCCTTGCCCTCTCCAGTTCCTAAGCCATCCCTTAGTCCTTCCTTCCTTCCCTAGCAGCCAGGCAGACATAACCACAAAAATACTAAAAGGAACTTCACTGCATTGAGCTGTTTCCTACCCAAACGAAGGGAATAATGTGAACTCTGTGAGTGCGTGGATGTGTATGTGTGTGCACGTCTGTGTGTGTGAGAGCGAGGCGGGTCCTAGGCAGGTGGGAGAGCTGTAGGACATGTAAAGGAGGGCTTTGGGAGCGGAGAATTCCTAGCCAGCTTTCCACCTCTTCTGGGAGGTTGCTCCCTCCTGGAATTTTCCATGCCACCCCAGTGCGCATCTGTCATGGAGAAAACAGTCCCGAGATGCGTTGTGCTAAGTTGTCCATCTTATCTCACCCTAAAACACAGAGCATCAAATCCCTGCCTCAAGCTCCCTTCTCAGAGCTACAGAGTCAGTGCCACAGCCTTTGCTATGCACCCCTTGGACCTCTCTCTGCCCCTGCCCCTGGAACAACCACTGTCAATTTTTTTTTCCCCCATAGTCTATACTCAGTGAGTTGAGGGCTTGGAGTGAAACTTCCCGCCCCCTTTCCCTCTCCACCCCTGTTTTTGATTTTCTGTCTTCCTTTGTGGCCCAAGCTGGTTGCCGTGGAGATGAGGTTGCTTACCCTCCCTGTCCAGCGGCCATCATGCCTCAGACCCAGAATGCCCCTTGGCACCACTCACCCTCCTCCAGCATATCCTCCTTGCTCTCACAACCCAGGGGCATGCAAAATGGGGGCAGCTGCATCCAACAGGTATGCCCACCCCTCTCAGTTCAGGTAATACCATCTTGAATCTTCCAGCTGCTGATTAGCGCCCTGAGCATCACAGGCAGCCCCCCTCTAAGCCAGGGCCCCCTTTCACAGCAGCAAGGCAGCCTAGGGCCCCAGGCCTGTCCGGCACCCACCTCCCAGCACCTGCTTTTGGGAAAATGACTTTTTTCTCTTTGAGCTGAACCACTCTGTCCGTATTACACAGAAGCCATATTTGTACTGGGGGCGGGGGGAGAGGGGCCCTTGTGCTGTGTGTGTCTGTCTTTGGGTGGGGGGTGGGGAAGTGAGCCCGGAGGGGATCCTGTATCTTTATAATCTTTCTAACTCTCCTATGCTAATCTCAGAGGGGCACCCTCAATATATCTGGATCACCATGTTGCTCTGCTGCCTCCTTCTTACTGCTCTTGCTCCTGTGGAGATGTGTGCATAAGGATATCTGGCATCCCTTGCACTTGGTACCTATAGGGGTTGTGTATGCCTCATCAGGCCACTCTCCCAAGGGCATCTCTGTATGGAAACAATATAATTCTCCAAGGGAGAGAAGTGTGTTCACTTCCTTTGGTTTGGCCCTTGCTTTCCAGAGAGTGTTTGGGGCAACTGACTGTTCCCACCTCCTTCTGCCAGGTGGTGCTGGAGAAGGTAGAAATGAAGGTGAAGACACTGCCAACATCATTCCAGGACAGCTTCAACAGACCCCCAAACTCACTTTTTAACTCCCTTAAGTTGAACCTGAAACTGAAGCAAATGTCCTAGGAGAGTCTTTGTAAGGTCTCCATTCTTTTGCAACTTGGCTCTCCTACTCTACGTCCAGGAACCCCTATGTGAAAGAGAAGGAGGTACTTGTGAGAACTGGAGTTAAAACATCACATGCCCTCTTGGACAAATGAAACAGTATCACCTAAGCAGCCCTTTCTATCTCACCATTCTGACTTGGACACTCCATGACTCACCCTTTTCAATGTTGACTAAGTCTCTCTGAGGAAATATGTGGGGGAGAAAAGGGGGCAAAACAGCAGAGATCATGGGAAAGCAGCTGGAGGAGGAGCTGCAGAGAAATTGAAGCTCTCCCCACGTAGGAAACTTTACACAATATTGAGATGCCAGGCCAATGCAGCAATTACACAGCCTTTTTGTCCCCAGCAGAAATATGAATAGAGATTACCCCAGAGGCAACAGGCCCATTTGAAAATATGCTGTCCCATGGTCCCCAAGAGCCTGCTCTAACTTGTCAGACCAAATGTTTTGTTGGGTATGAAAGATACATTCACTATGCCCATAGTTGATGAGGTAAATGCTTAGTCACTCCCTGAAGGTAGCTTCATTTTGTAGTCTTAACAGCTGCCTCAGCCCTCCTTCCTCTCACACTGAAACCCTCAGACTCATACTCAAACACTTGCCTCAGATGTGTTCACATGATACACAGCCACACACGTGGATAAACTCATTCTTACACCCACACTGATACACAAAGCCCCTCCACCTGCACACACCTCTCAGGTTGTCAGCATCTCATGGATCCAGCCATAAGCACCACTGATACCCACTCCTACAAAAATAGGGCTTTCGAAGTATTGTTCCTTGGATCGACTTCAAAGAGATGGAGGAGCAGTGAGAGTCATCAGTTGCCTTTCCCTCCAACTTCCCAGCACATCTCTTAGCTCTGTCTCACATTTCACCCCTGGCCCCCTCTTCCTTCCTTGTGCTTAACAATCTTGCTGGAAAGCCCCCAGGCTTCTCAGCTTCCTTTCTAATTCTGGAAAATAAGCACTCTCTGTTCCTCACCTTCTTCCTTTCCAAGTGTTGGTCCCCACTAATGGAATCCAACTTCAAAACAGGAAGCCTTAGGCCAGTGCCCCATGTGTGCCTGAGGCTTAAGCAGGCAGTGGGCGTGGGGTGAAGACTTCCTGAATGTGTGCCCTGCCCCTCAACCTCACCATGGCCCTGCCCAGAACTGATGGTCTTCATTAGTCCCTGGCACTTATCTTGGAACCACAGCCAGTAACAGAACTGTCCCAGCCCTTTGCCTGCCCTGAGCCTAGCAGTGTTATGGGGAACTGTCTGTACCGGGTGAGTGTGGGGCGGAACCCACAGCCCCCACCTCTGCCCCTTCTCCCCTCTGTTTCCCCTTCTTGTCTTTACATCTTTTTCCTTCCCTCTTCACCTCTTATCCCGTCCTTCTTTTTCCTTTTCCCTTCTTACCCCAGTCTCCTATGTTCCCCATTATTGTCCTTATTTGCCTTTCAGTCAGTTCCATCCAGGTCCCTCCCAGGTAACTCTCTCCAACCTTCCCCTGCTCTCCAGCCCTACTCATCGCCCTTCCCTTGCTGTCCCATGACTCTGCTCTTCCTCTGGCACCAGAGTCTCCCTGTTTTGTCCACTATCCCCACTGCATCTAACTCCTCCAGTCCCCTTGTTCTCCAGCCTCAGTTTTCCCTTTGTTCTTCCCTCCCCTTTTCCCTCAGTTCCTGGGAGACCTCAGTGGAGGTAACTAGATGCTCTGATTGTCCCCTCTGGGGATGTCCTCTAGGTGGACTCTTCCTCCGCTGCTGGGAACTTGAGTAACTTTTCCTTTGAAGATGAGTTTTGGGATGAGTGGAATAAGTCTGATGAATATGATGATGACTACACTGGATTCGAAGCAGCTGCCCCCTGCCACTCCTGTAATCTGCTGGATGAGTCATCACTGCCCTTCTACATCTTCATCAGTGTCCTGGGTGTCCTGGCTAGTGGAGCTGTCCTCTTTGCTCTTCTCAGACCTCTCTTTCACTGGCAGCTCTGTCCTGGCCGGCCGATCCTGGTGCAGTTGGCTGTGGGCAGTATCCTCTTCAGCATTGTTGTGCCCATTCTGGCACCAGGGCTGAGAGGTACCCACCAGACCCACTTGTGCCACCTGGCCCGCTTGGTCTGGTATGGTTCAGCCTTTGCCCAGGCTTTGCTAATAGGCTGTCATGCCTGCCTGGGCCCCAAACTGGGTGCAGGCCAGGTCCCAGGCCTCACCCTGGGAGTCACTGTGGGACTTTGGGTAGTGGCAGCCCTATTGGGGCTACCAATCACCCTGGCTAGTGAAATTTCCAGTGGACTCTGCACCCTGACATCCAGACGTGTGATTTTGCAGTTTATGCACACTGCCGCCTGTTTTGCCATCTTTATCCTGTTGCCACTGGGTTTATTGGGAGCCAAAGGGTTGAAGAAGGTATTGGGCAGGGGGCCATGTCCATGGGTGGATATTCTGTGGATCTGGTTCATTTTCTGGTGGCCTCATGGAGTACTTCGGGGTTTGGACTCCCTAGTGAGATCCAGCTTCTTGATATTGTCATCATGTCTGGTCCAACAGACCCTAGACCTGTTGCTGGACCTGGCAGAAGCCTTGGCAATATTGCACTGTGTGGCTACACCCCTTCTCCTGGCCCTGTTCTGCCACCAGGCCACTCGCACTTCCTTGTCCTCCTTGCCTCTCCCAGCAAGACAGTCCTCTCATCTGGACAACCTTGGAGGAAAATCCTAGTTCTCTTCCCACCTGTCAACCTGAAATAAAGTCTACACTGCTTTTATGAAGCTGGTGGTTTCTTATTTTATCTGGGCATGTAGAGGAGAGGAAGGAAAATGGAGGGAGGGTGGGAGGGAAAGGGTGAGGAGAGAAGGAGGGAGATATGCAGGGGAGAGAGAGAGAGAGAGAGAGAGACAGAGACAGAGAGACAGAGAGACAGAGAGACAGAGAGAGAGAGAGATTGAGAGAGAGAGAGAGAGAAATTTCATGCCAGACTGTCCTGCCCGCATTTGTTTCTCTAGCTGTCCTGAGAAAGTGAATGATGTACAAACATCCTCAGAGCATACAAGTGAGGTGCAGAGTTACTGCCATCTCTTCCAAGGGAGGTGGAGGTGGACCAAGATATGAGGGTAATAGCTAAACTTAAAAAAAACTAGAAGAGATGGCTTAGTAGGTAAAGAAAGAAGAGAAGCTGCTACAGAGAGCAAATGAAAGAATAGAAACTGGAGAAAGCAATGAAAAGGAAGTGAAAATGAGCTCAAATCATGGCTCTTCCTCCCTGTCTGGCCTGTCCTACCTTCCTCTGTTCCTTCTGTCTCCCTTATACCTGTTGACTTTGTTTAAAGATAGGATGGTGGTAAAAGAAGATGGAAAGAAGTGTCTTGGAGGAACTTACTTAGTCCAGGAAACATATTAAGATAATTCTGGAAACCATTTCCTAGGAGCCATCTCTCTAAGGTTGATTCTTCAGCATGACCTTAATCCCCGTGTGTGCGTGTGTGTGTATGTGTGCGTATGTACATGCATGTACATCTGTCTATCTCAATTTGTTAAAACCCACATCCATATTAGATACATGAATGTAATAACATGTTGACATGTGTGCTTGCTTCTCTATTAGTGTCTGAATTGCTCACATCTGTGTGTGTGCTCTGACCTCTCGCAGACCTTGTCTTCACTTTATTCTGCTTTCCATCTTTGTTCTCAGGATATGGAATTGGGATTTATGATGCACTCTCTACCCATCAGTTTTCTTTACTCTAATCTCTGTCCCTAGTCTTTTCTGTGTAGGCTGTGTACATGGAACTAAAAACAAAGAAGTTGTGAAGTACAAGAAATTAAGAAGAAGGAGCCTAAACTAATTCATTTCTTTTTAGAATCCCCCAGATTTCCCTTATGAACCCCAGTTATTAGAATAAGCCTTTCTTCCTGACACATATCTGTCTTTCCATCTTCCACATTGTACCCATGTCCTGGACTTGTCTTCTTTAAATGTCCTCCTGATTCTTTGGCTGCTAATCTTGATCCTGGAGGCTTTTTCTCAACCCCAATATGACCACGTTTCGGTGATGATTGGAAGAACAATTAATAAGCCCCTACCCAAAATGCCACACACACAAAAATGAGTTCCTCCTCCAATCCAATTAAAAGCTGAGAAAACTTGAGAGAATACCTTACATCTGAATCCAAATGTGGTCTTTGCATTTTTCAAAGATGCGCTATACTTGATTTCTATCCTACACCAATTCTGCTTGACTCTTTGGGCTTGGAGATAAATAGCAGAGTGCAGGAGAGGAGCAGAGATGAGCTACAGCATCCTAGACAGGCGGTGCAAATAGCTGGGGAATTTTTCTGGGTGAGTGTATTGACAAACCCTCCAAAGCCCCCACCTTCTGTTTCTTAGCAACTACCAGGTTAGCTGCTGATTGGTGCATTCTAAATTGAAAGGAGGGATTTAGGGACTGAGACTCGGAAGACATTCTAAAAGAGAAGGGAAGGGAGAGAAAATGAAGAAAAAAGACAATTTACAAACCTAAATTATGCTAAGATCTCCAACTACAATTCATAAATGTGTCCCAGTATTTTCATTTTCTCTTATTTCCTTTTCAGCCTTCTCTTACCATTCCTCCTCCAACCTCTGATCACTCTCAGTCCTACCAGACATTGCTCAACTCCCTTACAAAGTACTGGATTCTTGGAGGGGGCTGACCTAGTTGAGGGGGAGGTGAAGGAGCTTTTGACTTGCTGACCTTTTCCAGTGTAAACCAGATGCCAGGGAGGCTTAATATAAGATGACCGGGGTTGTCTTATCTACCCCCCAGGCCATGATGCCTCCAGGTAAAAACCCCTCCTTGTTCAATCCATTTAGAGAGAAACCTAGGTAGTTCCACAGCCATCACATCTCCCACACAGGAAAGGCAGAGGCAAAAACCTGCAGCCGATAAGACCTCAGAGTGGGTTGGAGACACTTTCCCACTGTTATCTTCTCTCTATTTCACCCCTGCTGACTTTGCCCCAGTCCCTTCAGGGGCTTGTCTTTCCTTGTCATTATCTATGCTGTATTTGAAGTCTGACCTTGACCTCAGTCATTTCTTTAGGGTTTTCCTCGAAGTTCTGTTACCCCAGTCCATTTAACCCACTGCATTCCACCAACCACTCCAACATCGGTCTGAATCTGGCATCTTTTCTGCAATCCTCCAGTAATACAAATCCTGTTTTCTTAGAACCCTTAAGAATTTAATCTGAGAGTTGGCAGGGACTTTGGCTACATTTGAGTTATTGGGCCTCCTGACTTAAAAAAAAAAAAAAAATCTTCTCAGAAAGATGAGGGCCAGGGAGAAAGCTCTTGGGAGCTCACAACTGACAATCCTGGGGAGGTCGGTCTGCACTGCTTTTTTAAGGAGATAGAATTTTTTTTTAAATTAATTAATTCATTTTTTTTATGGTGACATTGCTTAATGAAATCCAGCAAGTTTCAGCTAAATATTTTAACAGTAAATCATATATATATTTACATTGTGTGTTCACCTCTCATGGTTAAATTTCTTTCTGTCACCACATATTTGACCCCTTTTACCCCATCTATCACCTCCCTCCCCACCCTGGTAATCACTAGTCTATTGTCCATGTCCATGAATCTTTGTTTGTCCTGTTCGTTTGTTGCTTTTAGGTTTATATCCACATATAAGTGATATCATGTGATTTCCAACTTTTTCTGTCTGGCTTATTTTGCTTAGCATGATTATCTCAAGGTCCATCCATGTTGTTGCAATTGGCAGTTTTTCATCTCTTTTTATGGCTGAGTAATATTCCATTGCATATATATACAATGAAATATATATACAGCTTCTTTAGCCAATCATCTATCGTAGGGCACTTCGGTTGTTTCCATGTCCTGGCCACTGTAAATACTCAGTAGAGGGATTGCTGGATCATATGGTCGATCAATTCTTAGTTTTTTGAGGAACTTCCATACTGTTTTTCATAGTGGCTATACCAATTAGCAGTCCCACCAGCAGTGTATGAGGGTTCCTGTTTCTCCGCATCCTCTCCAACATTTATTATTTCTTATCCTGTTGATAACAGCTATTCTAACTGGTATGAGATGATATCTCATTGGGTTTTGATTTGCATTTCCCTAATAGCTAATGAAGTGGAACATCTTTTCATGTTTGTTTGTCATTTGTACGTCTTCTCGGGAGAAGAGTCTGTTCAGGTCCTCTGCCCATTTTTTGATTGGATTGCTTTTTTGTTGTTACTGAGTTGTATACGTTTTTTATATATTTTGGATATTAGGCCTTTATCAGAGGCTTTGCTTGCAAATATATTTTCCCATTCAAATGGTTGTCTTTTTATCTTGACAGTTTCTTTTGCTGAGCAGAAGCTTTTTAGTTTGATGTAGTCCCATTCATTTATTTTTGCTATTACTTCTCTCACCTTTGAGGTCAAATTCATAAAATCCTCTTTAAGTGCAAGGTCCTTGGGTTTAGTTTCTATGTTTTCTTCTATGCATTTTATTGTAATCCATTTTGAGTTAATTTTGGTGTGTGGTAATAGACAACAGTCTAGTTTCATTCTTTTGCAGATGGCCTTCCACTTTTCCTAGCACCATTTATTGAAGAGGCTTTTCTTTCCCCACTGTATGTTTTTGGATTTTTTGTCAAAAATTATTTGCCCATATAAACATAGGTTTACTGCTAGACTCTCTACTCTGTTCCATTGGTCTATGTGTCTGTTTTTCTGCCAATACCATGCTGTTTTGATTATTGTCACTTTGTAGTATAATTTGAAGTCAGGAAGAGTGATACCTCCAGCCTCTTCTTTTTTCTCAGGATGGCTTTGGCAATTCGGGGTCTTTTGTGCTTCCATACAAATCTGATGATTTTTTGTTCTCTTTATTTAAAGAATGCTGATGAGATTTTGATGGAGATTGCATTAAATCTGTATAACACTTTAGGTAGTAAGATCATTTTAACTTGTTGATTCTTCCAATTCAAGAACATGGAATATTTGTCCATTTCTTTGTACTACTTCGATTTCTTTTAATAGGGTCTTAGAGTTTTCATTATATAGGTCCTTCACATGTTTCATTAGGTTTATTCCTAGGTATTTTATTTTTTTGTTGCGATTGCAAAAGAAATCATTTTTTCCACTTCTTTTTCTGACACTTCATTATTAGAAGTATAGAAACGCTATGAATTTTTGAACATTGATTTTGTATCCAGAAACTTTACTGTATTTGCTTATTGTTTCTAGTAGTGTTCTTATGGAGTCTTTAGGGTTTCTTTTATAGAAAACCATGTCATACACAAATAGTGACAGTTTGACTTCTTCATTTCCTATTTGGATGCCTTTTTTATGAGAGACTTATTTCTTAAGGGAAGATTGAAGGTCACGTAGACACCCATAGTTCATTTATGCCAAGATTATGCCCCTCCTAGAGGATTTAGGAAACAAGTAGCTGGTCCTCATATCCTTTTATCCATCCCTATTTTCTTCCCACTCCCAGCCACATCATCACCTTCTTCCAGAAGCCACCCTCAGAGGAATTCTGATTGAGAACTTTATTGGTATTTTAAATGCAATTCATTGACAACTCTAATTGTCAGAGATTTGCATGACAACCATTGTATGTTATCTCTTTATTCTGATAACAGCAGCCCAAGGTTTGGGCACAAAGAGAATCACGGTTTTAATTAACAATAATGCACTTTGCAGACAAATGTGACTGTTTAGGTTAATTAACAAAT